TATCTTGTTAAAATCTACACGTAGTGGCATACGATTAATTATCTAGTAACTTACTTGATTTTTAGCATTTTCCGTCCGTCTTATTGTATTTAACTTCTTAGCACATCAGGAAATTTCTGTAATTCTGAGATGCTTATGGTTTGTTTGTTTCAGGAAAAGATTATGAGGGTTCCATATGGCCCAAACAAAGAATATTTTAAGTACTCATTGTTTCTCGTCTTCTGCAACCGCATCACTACTTCTGCTGTATCTGCTGGAGTTCTACTGGTATTTTCTGATACAAATCATGTCTGGTTTGTTTTCTTATTAATTATGCAGAATTCCTTTGGACTGTTTAGTTTAAGTTTGAAGTACACTAGGTTAAAAATTCCGTGATTGGATTGGTTTGATACAAAACGGTTTGACTTGGTATGCTATTTGGCATGTTAAACATGACACTGTTCCAAAATATAGTGTAACATATGAAGTGCACAAGTTGGATGTGTTGGAGCTTTGAGCCTCTTATTTATTCAATTCATATTATATGTACTCTTCTGTATTTTTTCAGGCAAGTAAAAAGGCCCTGGACCCTGTTGCTCCAATTTACAAGTATTGTGTTGTATCGGTGTCTAATATACTTACCACAACTTGTCAGTATGAGGTAAGCTGTATTATTTCTTGCAAGGATGATTACAAAATGATATGCTTTTCAGCCTAAGGGCAACATTAATTGGGAACTTTCTGTCATTTACCTTAACATTGATCGATTGGCCTTTTTTAATCGATATTATGTGTTAAGAGGTAAGGAGGAGTGCTTGACATGAAAATTTTCTGGATAAACTTGCTGCAGGCCCTTAAATACGTCAGTTTCCCGGTGCAAACGCTGGCAAAGTGTGCCAAAATGATACCTGTAATGGTGAGTCCGTTTGAAATCTTGTTATTGCCCCATCAAGAAATACTAAGTAATTTCGAAACAGATCTGCCATTCTATGTAATGGAACTTCCCGAAAAAATCTTCACTTTTTAATTGTAAAAGCTGACTTCAGGGATGCTAAAATTAGATTTTAATCAAAAAACATTCGAAGTTTCAGACACATAAGGATGTCCAAAGTTTTACTTGTCTTACTTTTTTCCTTTCTATTTCGGTGCAGATATGGGGTACTTTAATCATGCAAAAGAAGTACAATGGACGTGATTATCTATTTGCCCTCATAGTGACACTTGGATGCTCTATTTTTATATTATTTCCGGTAATCAATTTTCAAGTATCTAGATATCGAGCTTCTTTGTTTATATTGCGTGCAAAATAACTCCTCCCCTAGATTTTGAACAAGATGTTTTGCATGAAACTGTAACTACATTAATTTCTACAGGTCATTTTTGTAGCGAATACACTGTTAGGCAATGTAACAACTTTGTGTTTTCTTTCCTTTCTTTGGGGTTTTTAGATTTTCTGATCCATTCTGTCAAAATCCCTGTTAGGCTTAGATAGGAAAGTGATAGAAAAGAAAAAAGTTAAATGATGGAAAAAGCATACAACACTTTAAAAAGGTGCAACAATGACCTGTGAAATTGACACCAGTGATAGTGACCATGAATCACTTTTCAAGTTCTAATCAAACAGTGGAATACCATAAGCTCTAGTCTCTAAGTGAAGAAGTTATAGTATTTTTTCATACTGTAGGTATATGTGTACCTTGAAGGAGTTGGAATAAGATAAAATCTTGCAAGATGCTATTTTGTTTTCTTTTCTTTTTCCTCTAGCAGTGAATTAACGTGATGTGCAATGTTTAACTTCAAATATCTATGTGATATCCTATGTCCGGTTACATTTGATTGAAATATCATGTTTGATTTATGGTGTTAATTGCTTATATGGTTTATGAAGTTTTAACTTTATAGTTGACTAGAGTTTTACGCTTTAAAATGTAGGCTGCAGGTGATATTAGTCCATACAGTAGAGGAAGCGAAAGCACAGTTTGGGGTGTTTCCTTGATGATTGGCTATCTTGGGTATGATAAAATATTATTACTGTACTAGCTATACGGCTATACCAAAATATTATCACAGTCTGTACTACATGTTTTCTCATAATCTTAGACCTGGTACTGGTACAAAGTGCCAGACAAGGATTTCGTGTGTTTTATTGGTTAAATAACAACCTTTTAGTTGTAAGCCTTCTGTGAATAATGTGATAAGTAATTCTACGTTTTTCTGGTCGGAGCACTTACTCGTAATTATTACTGGCTTGGTTTAACAGGTTTGATGGCTTCACAAGTACATTCCAGGACAAACTTTTCAAAGGCTATGATATGGAGATACACAATCAGATATTTTACACAACAATGTGTTCTCGCATGATTAGCTTCACTGGTAAGATACGCATTCGATCCATCTGTCATTCCTCGTATTTCTATAGCTTTTCTCGTACAATTGATTCTGATTCCTTTGTAAGGTGGGTATAGATTAAATTGTAATTGAAGTGGAAAAAGCCAACACAATTTCTTGTATGCGTCTTTCAGTCACTAATCATAAAATACCATTGAATTTTGAAGACTTGTAAGTTATTTCTATCTTCGAGAATTTCCTTTGACTAGTTACAAGATTTTAACATAGTTCCTATAAAATCTATAATCTGTTTCATTGATTTATCCTCAACTATTTTCTAGTTTTTATGAGTTACCTTGCATTTTTCTGCATGTATTTTACATAACATGGATTGTTATATCTGATAGATACATCAGTTTGCATTTCAGTTTGCATTTCAGCTGCTAATATTGATTATTTGGTATCTGGTTGATTCGTACATAGGTCTGATCTTGCAAGGCAATCTTCTAATGGCTATAGATTTTGTTTCTCGGCATAATGATTGCTTCATTGACATTGCAATTCTTTCAACTGTAAGTTCTCTCTAACTTAAAACTTATTTTCCTTTCACTTGTGTTCTTTTTGTATTTTCGTAAATACATGAAATCAATTTTCTTCTCCTAACTAGAAAAAAATAAAAAATTACGATTGATATGATCTTGTATTGCAGGTAGCAACGATAAGTCAGTTCTTTATCTCTTACACCATCCGCAGTTTTGGTGCTCTAGCCTTCGCCACCATAATGACCACTCGACAGGTACATCAAAAATCGTTTTGATTTTAATTAATGCCACACAATATTTACATATTTGCCCTTATAGTCTCCCACCTGTTCTTTCTCTTCAAGCCAACTAACAAGGATGATATATATGATTGTTAATGCAGTTGGTGAGTATTCTATTGTCGTGTGTGTGGTTTGCCCACCCACTTAGCTCGGAGCAACTAATCGGAGCAGTAAGCATCCATTCTTAATATCTTCATTCGCTTTTAATCATATACCTGTCGGAAGATTTTTAGAGTGTTGACTCTCTCCCTTCCTTTTTTTCGATTTCGTGGATCAGGTCATTGTGTTTGGTTCTATATACTCTAAAAACATCTTTAGAAGTAAACCGAAGCCAACGTTACCTGAACAAACAGAAAACGGGTCTTCTAGTCCACCGAGGGCTACTACTGCGTAAGACGTGGGCTGTGTAGCTGGGCTATCGGCTTATAGGGGCTTCAGCTCACTAAACTCTGTTTATTAACTGTTTCTTGAAAGATGTGCCATCTTTGCAGATTT